CTTATACTTATGCATCAATTCACCTATTTGTGCAGAAACCAGGTTTGAATTTTCTCACCATTCGTTCATGGGCTTCTGTTTAGCACCTCTTCTCTCTATCAGCTGCACTATTTTAGATGTAATTTCCATTCAAATTGACCATGCTCTTTCTCTTAACCTCTCTGAAAGTACTGTTATTATTGGTGACATTAAGACTCTAACACCACTGACCCAGCTTGAGTGAATCTTGTTTCCTGTTTGTCTTTTCTCGATTATTAGCAAGGTCTTTGAATCTTTGATCAACAAATTTCTTGAGTCTTTAATTTCTAGTAGAGGTAAGTGTTTTTTTATTGTTTTTAGGTAAAAATTGATTGATTTATGTACAGGAAAGGTAATACTAAAAAACTCAAAAATTTATATCCCTAATAGTTACTACTTTATTCCATTATAAACACTTAAAGTTGAGAATAAAAAATTTGAAAGGAAAGTTCGTGAGGCCTTACAAAAACATCAATGTTCTCCAATGTACGGTGAGAACAAAAATATCAATGTTCTCCAATGTATGGTGGTATGAATTCGGACAATGGACAATATTTAAAAACAAATTTTTGGACTTCATTTTTTCATACTTAAGTAAAAGAAGCAATTATAAAGGTGACATCAAAATTTAAAATTTTTGTTGTTATTTAACGGTCATAATTTTTGTAATTATATTATATGCTGATGATCCCGGTGCATATAATCCGGCGAAATATTCAAATAAAATATTTAGTATTGAGAGAATTTGTGTCTGATGTGTTAAATTAGTTTATATATATATATATATACTCTCACACAAGATGTCAACATTTAAATCATATATATATATATATATATATATATATATATATATATATATATATATATATATATATATATATATATATGTGGCAACTCCATTTTTAACTTACATTAAACGTGCAACAACTTTATCAAATATTTGCCTTATTATAAAGTAAATTAAACTTTTAGCTATTTTGTGTGAAAGCTGTTAATCTAAAGAATAAAATAAGCTTAAAAGTTTTGAATCTGGCTAAAAGCACAGGTGGAAAAAGTAAAAAAAAAATTGTACTTAAGTAAAAGTACTGTTACTTAAGTGAAATTTTACTCAAGTACAAGTAAAAGTTACTGGTCGAAAAGTTTACTCGGGTAAAAGTAAAAAGTAGCTTATTAAAAATGTACTCAGAGTAAAAGTTACTGTGTTACTTTTTCAGTAACAAAGCTGTCAAATAAAAAAACAAAAATCACGTAGTCTATTCTTTTCTGTGCAAAAAAATTTTTTTTTGCACAGAAAGTTTTTTTTATGGTCGTAAAAAGTGAAAAGAAACCAAGCTAAAGCAGTTAAAACTTGTTACGAGCGCACTCAACATTTTTTTCTAAACAATTTAAGTGTCATTTTTATTAAAGTGAGCAAAACTCAAAAAAACAAAAAAATAAAATCAAATTGGTTTGTTTTGTGAAATTAATACATAATTTTTTTTACTCAGTAACGCATATGATTTCAAATGTAGCGAAGTACAATACTTAAGTAAAAAAAAAGTACTTAAGTAAAAGTAAGAGTACCCATATATATATATATATATATATATATATATATATATATATATATATATATATATATATATATATATATATATATATATATATATATTAACCCTCGGAAATAGGGTCGGCATTCGGCAATGGCGACCTGAAAGTGTTTAAGGTCGGTAAAAAATTGCAATGAGGTCGGCAATAATTTGCCGACCTCATTTTTACTAATTCCGAGGGTTGTGTATATATATATATATATATATATATATATATATATATATATATATATATATATATATATATATATATATATATATCCCCAGTATATATCAAAGCAAGCCCTGGTCAAATATTATCTTTAATTGTTTACTACTTGGTTGTTTGTTTCTAATGTCAATATAAAACATAGATTTTAGACTTCTTTTCATCAGTTTCCACCTTGTTTAGAAAATATTGGAAAAAAGTATTGTTAGCATTTTGGTAAAAATAAAATAAATGTATCATAAAAAGCCTAAATCAAAAAATATGTATTTTTATTCTATAGTTTTATGTTTACTGGACAAGACTTTATTTAACACACACACATTTATATATATATATATATATTATATATATATATATATATATATATATATATATATATATATATATATATATATATATATATATATATATATATATATATATATATATATATATATATATATATATATATATATTATATAATTGGGCATAACATAAATAACATAATTGGACATAACTTTTATTTATAAGATTTTACTGGTACATTCCAACAAGTCTCTTAATTTTCAACCTTTTTTAATATTTTAGTTGTTAATAATTGTTCATTATTGTACTCAGGTTGTTATATAAAAAAATCTAATTGCTTTGCATATAAACTCAAATTAAAAAAAAGTAAATTTAACTTTATTAAATAAAAAAATTAAACCTGGCTTCACACAAATCTTGCATATAGTACAATGAACATAGGAACGACCATCCTTTAGTCAAATTAATAATATAATAAACAAAGATGTTTGTAATAAAACAAAATAAATTAAAAAAATATTTTATATATAACATACTTTTGAAGTACACTTGTTGCATTGTTTACAGTGTTTATTTTCTTTATAAACATATCGATTACAAATCTTGCAGAACCTAAATACCAAAGCTACCATTTGAACAATTTATTATGTATAAAAATGTTGCCTTAACAGAGGACCATCCAAAAGGAAAGGAAAAAACTCTAAAATGTTTGGGTCAATATAGGCAAAAAGAAATCATTTTTCATAGAGATGTTTGACACACTTTCTCAATTCACATAGCAAATACTAGAGCTTTGCTTAAGGTTTTTTTTTTCTTGATATTTTTTAGGGAAAGTATTAGTAATTTGTTATCAATACTACTGGTACCAAAATAGATACCAATGCAAAACTTCAAGTTTTTTGCACTGTTTTGAAAGTTTTTTCTGATGTAAGACTAACCTAGATTTTCTGAATATTGAAATAATCCTTGAGATAGCCTTTAATATTAGCTGAAAATATTAGTGCTGATATGTCTCTTAACAATATATAAACTAGGAGTCTACTCAATTGTCTCCTACTTCTACTAACTGAATTTAAAAAAAAAACTGTTCTAAAATGCGTTAAAAACAATAAAAAAAAAACATAAGGGATTTTAAAATATTCTATCAAAAAAGAAGTGTCATTTATCTAAATATCTTAAAAATTTGGCACACTTGGGACCATTAAAGTCACCACCATTATAGCTATGCCTAATAAGTTTTCTTTTCAAGAATTTTTTTCAGATTTGAATCAGTGAAAAGGATGTTAATTATTTTATTTATGTTGCTCATATGATTATGTTGTTGACTCTGGTATACTTCAGGTTCTTTGGTTCTAATGCTAACCCCCTGGATAAGAGAAATTAACTTAAGAAAAAAAGTTACAATATCCTAAATATAATCAATGTTTATAAATAGATTTCAAATTTCTTCAAAATTCAATTTGGACCTCAAAAACAAATGTCAATGTGAAGTTTGAAAAACCCTCATTTTATTAACATACTAGAAAAATTTGCTTAAAAAAATGATGTAAAAATAACTGAAAAATTTAAAAAAAAAAGCATTGTTTAACACAATTTGACTTTTATTATCAAAAAAATATATTGCCTTTATTTTTAAATAATGGAATTAAAATAGTGTAGAAATAAATTTTTAAAAGCAAAAAAAAAAAAACGTTCTTTTTTTTGCTTAGAGTCGTAGTAGATAGAAAATTTTATATAATTAATAAGGTAAAAAAATTTGATTTACTTTTAAAAATTAAACTTTTGGTTCAAAAAGTTTAACTTTATAGTGATAACAATTTTTTAACCATTGACTGCAAAAATAAAATGGATATACTTTATGTCACCAATGTGAACTAAAAAAAATACATATTTGAATTATCGAAATTATTTTCTCCACTATTCAGTAAACATTAAATAAACCTTGATCTGTTGTTTCAGTTAATAAAACTAGTCAGAAAAATGTTATACAAAACTAATCAGAAAAAAAAAGGTATGAAAACAAGATAAAATGTTTTAAGAACACCTTGAATGAACACTAAATTATTTTTAAATTACTTTTTTTAGGCATTCAAACCAACTAAGTTATTTGTTTATTAGTAATATTTTGAGACTATTAGACTCATCATTATTAGCCGAAAAACAAAATATTTTTCAAAAAATATTTACAAAATCAGTTAAAAGAAAACATTGTATTTATGTATGTTTTGCATCTTAAGCAAACACATCTTTCTACACCTAAAGCAAAAACTAATTAATATTATCTGTAAGTTAGAATTAGGATTTAAAAATATCTTTGTACTAAAAATTTAATATAATTTATTGTTTCCAGTTTACCCTAGGTATCTAAGTAGCAAAACAATTTTTAGATATTCAAAAAAAATAGATTTTTGTTGTGTCAGATAAAAGTTTTGCTATTTTTGTAACTAACTTTGAACAACTTAAATATTTAGTAACCTTTTTCTACAAACACTTCTATCAGAAAAATTCTTGTGTAAACTTTACTGTAAATCCTATATGCTCTATAAGTGAAACCAATAATAAATTAATAATGTTTGAGTCACACCCTAAATTGGACATTGCTACCTTTTAATTGTAATTGCTTCCTTCTATTGAATCTTGAAACTTGGCCATTTTTGTCATTGATAATATGTATTTCTAAAAAATTTGGTGATTTGTTTTTAACCTCAGGTCCATTGTATATTTAAGGTTGATAATTTGTTGGTTGAAAATATCAAGTAACTTTTTAGCTTGTTCGATTGATTAAACTTGTATGTGGCTTTATATTAATGATATTTAATGTAACGGCTACTACATTTGATTCAATAAAATATCAAGGATAAATTCAATAAAATGTTGCAAAAAAATGTTTCTGGTTTTGCAAAAAAACAAGGCTGCAAGCAACCACTATTAAGTCGGGAGTTGCTAGGAAAAAAAAGAACAGAGTTATAGAGCAAAGAAACGGTTGACAGAAGACTTGAAAAGTTGAAGGTTGTATGAGTCAGGAAAACATGAAGATGGGAGAGAGTTCCAAAGGATTGAAGTGCGGGGAAAAAAACTAGATGAATAAAAGTTTTTAGAGCATGCAGGGACAGATACAGTAAACAAATGAGACTTAGCTGTATGACGAGTAAAACAAGAATGAATTTTAGTTGATGGAACTAGAGATGATAATTCCTTTGAGCAGTGACCATGGTAGTATTTGTAGGAAAGAGAAAGAGATGCAACTTTACGACGATGGGAAAGAGGCTCAAGCTTAGCAGATAGTCCAGGTCCAACAACATTTACAATGCGTTTTTGGACCTTGTCAAGAAGAGAAAGTGAATCATTAGAAGAACCAGCCCAAATATGACAACAGTATTTCATACAGGGACGAATAAGAGATTTATAGAGATAGAGAATGGAATCAGAAGTAAGGAAATGGTGAGCACGATAAAGAGAAGCAACCTTAGCAGAAGCTAATTTAGCAATCGATTGTATAAATGGTTTCCATGAAAGGTCAGTAGTAAGCAATAATCCAAGAAGACGTAAGGAGGACAACTCAGTAAGAGGATTGCCATTCATTAATATAGGAATGTTGACTATATTACGGTAGTTGTTTGCAGTAAACAAATGGGTTTTGTTAGAGTTGAAATTCACAAGTCACTGTGAACCCCAATCTATTACTGAAGTGAGATGGGATTCAAGATCAGCTGCTTGTTCTAGGCGATCAAAAAGAGAAGACTTTTTGTCAAGACAGGAGTATAAAGTTGAGTCTTCAGCAAAAAAGGCTACTTTAGATGAAAGGTTGTCAGGAAGATCGCTTATGTAGATAAGAAACAAAAAATTGATGACTCCTTCCAAGGCAAAAAAAAAATATTTAAAAGACAAAGATTTGTTTCTACAAGTTAGCTATTTTAGATTAATCAAAGTCATTTTTAAAATTAGAAATTCTCATCAGATAACCTGGATTATTTGAAGTGTGCTTAACTTCACCATACATGCATGGAGGTAAATTTTGCCATACATGCATGGAGGTATAATTTGAATAAAGATGCTCATATTCACAATTTTTAGTATTTGGAATTATTTTTGCACTTAATATTTGTTCTCTTTTTTTTTTTAGGAGCGAACATGTAGTTTTAATAAGAAAAATACAAGAACCTTTATCAAGAGGAAAAACTTGTATGAATTTTTTTGACTATAATTTCCCTGATAGCTTAAACTGATAGCTTCTGATTTAAACTACAGCTTTTCTTTTAAGAGATGTTCGATGGAAGAGATTTACATGGTGAAATATCATTATCACATAAATTTAACATTATTGGTTTTACCATATTAATTGTAATAGCTATTCTTAGTTTTTCAAACTTCCTTTTTAGAACTTCTCTGAACGTGATAAATATGGTTATTCCAAGATTATTACATATTTTAAAAACTTTTAGTCAATTTTTAAATGTTTAAATTGAGACATGATATTAGAATATTGAGACATGATACTAGAATATTGAGACATGATACTAGAATATTGAGACATGATACTAGAATATTGAGACATGATACTAGAATATTGAGACATGATATTAGAATATTGAGACATGATACTAGAATATTGAGACATGATATTAGAATATTAGGAAATGATATTAGAATATCTTATTATTATGAATCAAAAAATATAAGTTTAATATAAATCAAAATTGAAACAAAAGATTTATAAAAAAATGAGGTTGTACACAGACATCTGTTTATCGTCCCATCTCTGGCATACAAGTATTTTTTTTTAAACATCTTTGCTTTCAACAAGGCTGCAAGTAACCACTAATTAGAGTTGGAAGTTACAGGAAGTCAAAAGATGAAGATTGTAGAGCAAGAAAACGATTGATTGACAACTTAAAAGATTGCAAATAATATGATGCAGTGATGTGATAATGGTTGAAGTTTGGCTGCAAAAGCAGGTCCAACTATGTTTACAATGCATTTTTGCACCTTGTCTAAAAGAGAAAGGACGTCATTAGAAGATCCGCCCTATATATGGCAACAGTATTCCATACAAGGACGGATTTGACATTTGTAGAGATAGAGAATAGAATCCGCAGTAAGAAAGTGTCGAGCTTAATAAAGAGATGCAACCTTAGCAGATGCTAATTTTGCAACAGATTTGATATATGGTAGGGGATGTGGCAGAATCATTTCAGTGGATGCTATTCTTTTTTGATTTTTGACTGATCCTTGGGAGATCACAAACTGTGCATTCACGTGTAGGTTGACTTCTTGTAATAATGGAAATTAGTTTAAAACTAGGGAATAAATTTAAAAGAATAAATTAAAAAAAAAGTTCTGCAGATACAATGCCAACAAACTGGCCCATTATACCATAAGAGGCCAGTTTGTTGTTATAATAGGGATGAATTGATGTAAAAGCTAATATTTAAACACCAGCTTCTGGAAATCAATTATACATTTTATTCAGATGCAAACTGACATTCAATGCAATGATGCTAATATTTTTTTAAACTGTTAAAAAAACAACCTTTATTGGTTAATGACAGGCTCAAATCACTGATATATAATTTGAGAAAATTTAAGACAAACCTATAGTTTTCTGTAGGTAGTGCTACTTTATCAACAGCTATGTTGGTGAAAATACGAATAGGTGAACCTCGGTTTTTTGAATTATTAAAATGTGGGTGGTTACTATAACAAACCTAAAAAAAAAAAATTACATATATAAATGTGTGCATGTATATATATATGTGTATATATATATATATATATATATATATACTCTTAATAAACATTGTGACGTTCAAAGACAATTATAAAACTGTTACTACTTGCGAGCAAAATATATATATATTACATATACATATATATATATATATACATATATATATATACATATATATATATATATATATATATATATATATATATATATATATATATATATATATATATATATATATATATATATATATAGATATATATATCCTTATATCGTAGTCGAAAGAGACTTTTAATGTAAAAAAAGTCTCTTTCAACTACAATTTTGCTACTTCAACAATTATGCAACATTTTATTGTCGTCGAAATGTCAAAACAATTAAATTAATGCGGAAGTACATTAAATTTTATTGTTTTTTAAAAAAACCGCAATAATAATGACTAGAAAGTTTTTTTTAATTAATGGTGTTTTTGTTGTTGTTTTATTAAAATATATTTTTAAAACATACGCAGAGTGTTGCTACATCGACTATCTTATAGCCTGACTCGCAATGGAGTGTTGCTACATCGACTATCTTATAGCCTGACTGGCAGCGGAGTGCTGCTACAACAACTGACAAATAGCCTGACTCGCAAGGGAGTGCTGCTACATCGACTGAGGGATTGGTTAGGGCAGGCAGTCTATCATTTATAAAAAAAAAAATTATTTAAGTTTTTAAACTATTTCTGGTCTGGTTTATTAGATTATACTATTTAGTTTACTATATATATATATATATATATATATATATATATATATATATATATATATATATATATATATATATATAAACACACACACACACACATATATATATATATTTATGTATATATATATATATATAAACACACACACACACACATATATATATATATATATATGTGTATGTATATATATATATATGTGTGTATATATATATATATGTGTGTGTGTGTATATATATATATATATATATATATATATATATATATATATATATATATATATATATATATATATAACATCAATTAGGCCTATAGGAGCACGTTAACTTAGTATGATTTTGAGGCATAACATCATACTCATAGGATTATAGCTTGTTTCAACTCTCTAAGGAAAGTTTTGTCTTTTAACAAAGCTATGTGGTTCGGATATTCAAAAATTACTTTTATACAGATTAGGTAAAAACTCCGAGAGCATTGGGTTAACCAAGTACCAAAGCAAACTTTATTTAAGAAGTTTTAAATGTTATAGCTCTTGATATGCCATAGAAATTAATTTATAGAGACCTCATACCTCATAGTTGGTAAAAACTCAAACACAAATTTAAACATTTGTTTGGCTATGGTTTTTTAGAAAATCATTTAGCCTTTTACCATTTTGAAAAACAATAAAATATTTTTTCCACTATCTAAAATCTCTACAACAAGCTTTATGAGGATGGAGGGTCTTTAAATAAAGCTAGAAATTATTTTCATAGAAAATGACTGCAACAATATTATACAATATAAAACATTTTTTTTAAAAAACAAGTTTTTTTGCATGGTATTTACAAATATAACACTTTCCAGCATTGTGTATTGCAAATATAACACTCTCCAGCATTCCAGCAAGCTATAAACTTTCTAGCATTAAGGCAATTATATTCCTAAGTATCTATTTCTTGAAATTTATACATAAACCTCATAAAATCATTATATGTTATACCAAGGTACGTTTTTATAACTAATGGATTAAATATTAAATGTTTAATACATTAATAAAGTTTTATTAATGACTTTAAATGAAAAAATAATATTTAAATGAAAAATTCTTTGTCTTTTAATCTCCTTTACAATCATTTCATTTGCTAAAAAGGACATGAAACATGAATATTGATACATGATATTATTACATATATTACAAATATTATTTTTTCATTTAAAGTTATTAATAAAACTTTATTAATGTATTAAACATTTAATATTTAATCCATTAGTTATAAAAACGTACCTTGGTATAACATATAATGATTTTATGAGGTTTATGTATAAATTTCAAGAAATAGATACTTAGGAATATAATTGCCTTAATGCTAGAAAGTTTATAGCTTGCTGGAATGCTGGAGAGTGTTATATTTGCAATACCAATGCTGGAAAGTGTTATATTTGGAAAGTGTTATATTTGCAATACACAATGCTGGAAAGTGTTATATTTGTAAATACCATGCAAAAAACTTGTTTTTTAAAAAAAAATGTTTTATATTGTATAATATTGTTGCAGTCATTTTCTATGAAAATAAGGACTTGTAAAGAGGACTTGTAAAAAAGACTTGTTAAAAGGACTTGTAGAGAGGATTTGTAAAGAGGAGTTGTTTAGAGGACTTGTAGAGAGGACTAGTCCACTTTGCAGCCATTCTCATGGTGGCATCTCAAACCTTTTGAAATTAGCATTTTTGAAATTGCATTTAGAGATAGCAAGATGGAGGCGGCACAGGGGAGGAACTCCTTGCAACTTTTTCATAGACAACTTCATATTTAAAGTCGACTTGAAGACAACATGAAGATATTTGATGTGTGGAACCTTAACAATTCTGTCAGTTTGTCTCATCACATACATATTGTGACATACTAATATTTAATTGTATTTTACAAATTTATTTGCATAAAGAAAGGATGGAAAAATGTTATAGAAAAAATCATAGAAACAACAAATAAACATAAAAACCAGGTGAAAAATAAAATGTAGGAACTAAAAGAAATTCTTTTTAACGAAAATAAATTCTTTGATGCTATCAAAACTATTATTGAAAACATAGCTAGCCTTGAAAAATTTTATGATCATTATATTATTAAATCAAAAAACTGTGTAAAACCTCTTAAAAAGTTTGGCACCTATGTGTATACTGCACAAAAAATGAAAATTGTTGTTGCAAAATGAAGGTTATATTTGCAATATTAAATGTTCAAAGTTTTGTTTTTCTCATATCCTTGATATGAATCAAACATTTAGACCTCCTCATTAGGTTCATCATGTGTTTTTATCATGAGCAGCTGTTTAGCAACAAACTTTTTATGGGCAAATGCTCATTCGGCAAGTGTTTCCTAGCTTCTCATAGCTCAGGATGCTCATTCAGCAAGTTTTTCCTAGGCTCTGAGGTTGTATCCTTTAAGGCATAAACTTTGTAGCATTTGTCGCAATTACATTTCTAGCTATCATTAACCAATTTGAACCATAGGGCAACTGAAATATCTTATAAAAATTATAATGAAAATTAAAATTACATTTTTACAAGACAATATTTTAGGTAGTCTTGCTTAAAATTTTGCACAAATAATATGGAATGGTTTTATTTTTCCAGCTAACTCTCGTTATTTTACCAATATTTTTCAAATTTTTATTAAATATTATACACATGTGCACACAAGTAAAAATATATTTTTCATTTACCAATATTTTTCAAATGACTTATATTAAACATTATACACACGTGCACACAAATAAAAATATATTTTTCATTCTCATATTTTTAAGCTTTGCTTTAGTTCAATGATATCAAAATAATAAGAAAAATGAAAACTACTATTAAACTGTTTTACTCCATATATGTAAATATTTATTAAATCCAAAAACATAAAAAAAAATCTGCTCCAAAACAAAAAATCTTTGGCTGCTGATCAATTTTTCATACTTTTTATGTTTTTATCCTATTATGGCTTAAGTGCCAATATTTATTTGACTTTAATTTGATTAACGAAATTGTAACTTGATTATTTGAGATTAAGTAAAAATTTTAATTTGCAATCTGCTTAAATAATTTGTCAGCAAAACATAAATATTATTAAAATCAAAACTAAACTGATTACATCTTGTAAAAAAATATTTGATTTTTTGTTACTAACTACTTTTTGCTTAAAAATAAGTAAAATTTTAAAATACAAGGGTTTCTACAGGGTATTTAGTAAAAAACAAGACTATGGAGTCCTGAAAGTAGAGTTTTAATCCTATGATTTCTTCCTCTTTGCTTTAATTGAAATTCAATTAAAATTTTCTTCAAAAGTAAATTTTACACATTTATTAAAAGCAATATTTTTTTACGCCTTTTACATTTAACAATCTTGTTACTTGAGCTAATTATTTTTTTTTAAATTGATTTCATTTTCTAAATGTTAATTTTTTTATTTTAAAGAACAAGATCTGTATTGAAAGGATGATCATGACATATTTTTTTAATATTAGTTTCTTTTATATATTTTTTATATTATAACAATCCTATGTAACATTTAAATTTATTAACAAAACAATAAATTCTTGTAAAACAAGGGTTGAAATTTCTGGAAATTTTCTGGGAAATTTTAGTCAAAAATTCTGGAAATTTTCAAAAAAAAAATTTTATTGCAATAAACTTAAAGTTATTATATAGTTTTATAAAATTCATTTATTTCAAAAACATGCATTTTATCATTGTAATATTTGGGTATTCTTTAAATATTTCAACAAAAAATATAAAATAATAAAGGCCCACAAGCGAAAAATGCACATCTTTTAGTCAAATTTCTTTAGTCAATTTAAGAATTACGCATTATTTTAAAAAAGCAATAAGTTGTTATATGTTACTTTTATTTGCACTTTTGTGAAACAAAAGTAATGCAAATAAATACTTTTATTTTGGGTGTTCTACCCCCACAAAGAAGGTGATTTTCAAGTTATAGTGTTTTTTTTTTAAATGAATTTAGTCATCTAGTTGGGTATTTGACACAATCTAGTTGGGTGAATTTTAGTTTTTAAGGACTTTTTTTTAATTTAGAGAAACCAGTTGATACTTTTTACAGATTCACCCCTCCCCCTCATTTTTTAATTTATTGATTTATAAAGTCAAAAGTGCCCTAGTAAGGTAGTGGCAAGTGAGACTTAAAAGCTCTTATTTAAACAAAGCAGTGGAATTTATGACCTCGAAATAATTAGTTTTTTATTTTTATTGCTAACTATATTTTTAAATGGTTCAAATTTAGCAAAAATAATTTCTTTACATTTTGCCTTTTATTAATCAACAACGCCTTTAAGTAAGAAAAAAATTGTAAAACACTGTAAATACTTGTAGGCCAATATAATAAATATTGAAAAATGCCCGATCCCCTCTAAGGATGGGGGTACAATGAACATCAATATGCTTAGCAAATAACAGGATAAAAAAATTTTAGAAAATTTTGAAAACAAATTATCATAGTTGCTACTTAAAGTTATAATAAAAAAACCCAACAAAATACCAAAAAAAGTGTTTTTCAAAGATGGCTTTCAAAACTTTTTATAATCTACTTCACAATATTTTACTATAAAACTGTTCATAACAACTGCCTAAATAAGACATAAAATTTTACCTGTTAATTATAAAATAACTTATCTTTTTTTGAAAATTTCCAGGAAATTTTTAACCCTATCTAAAACTACTTCAAGAAAACTACTTGTAGAAATTTTGTAGAAAATCCTCTGATTCTAGAAAAGCTTCTAGTCTCTACATCTTTCAAAATAAGACTGTAATCATTGGCTACTTCATTTCTAATGCAACTAGAAGAGCTTCTAGAAGTCTTTGCATATTTGAGAATAAGACTGTAATCATTGGCGGCTTCATTTCAAAGGCAACTGTGAAGCCTTTAAAAGCAAGAGCAATAAAAATGAGAGTATACTATAGTATACAACATTTCACTTTACCATTAAACTCTTTTTAACTAAAAAAAACTTTTCAAAATTATTTTCACAGGTTGTCAACTTGCTCCATAACACTCCTTTTTATAATATATATTTTTTTGACAATAAAAAATATATTTTATAAGGCGATTGAATTATGAAAATGTTTGAACTAATAAAATGTTGATCTTGGTGGTATTATTGAATGTTTGGTCATTTTCAAAATTGAATTTAAATAGTAATAAAATTATACAAAAATAAATCAACGAATTATAAACGACAAAAATAAATCAACAAATTATAAATGACAAAAATTGAATGCTTATAAAAATTTATCAAATAAAATCTCTAAATGTAAAAAGTAAAAACAAAAGTTAAAACCACCTTATAATCCATCATTATCAATGAAGGAATTTTCTCAAGAATTTGATTTTCAAGAAAATAAGGAAATATAATCATGGTAGGCAGTTCTTTGTTGCCTATAAAAGTTTATGTTTAAGTTTCATCATCATCATCATCATCATCATCATCATCATCATCATCATCATCATCATCATCATCATCATCATCATCATCATCATCATCATCATCATCATCATCATCATCATCATCATCATCATCATCATCATCATCATCAATCATCATCAATCATCATCATCATTCACTATCATCATCACATTATCATCATTATCATTACCAATCATCATCATCATCATCAAAATAAAATTTATAAAATCAGTAAAAGTAGAACCTCTTTTTTGTTCAACAAAATTTAATTCAATGTAAAATACTTACATACATTCCATAACCTCTGCAGTATTTTGATTAATAAACTAACTAGAGCACCAAATGGAGGATCAATTACAATCAAAGTATCTTCTAATGATTGAGAGAGAAAAGTCTCTAACTTTTTGTTACCAATATCATTATTAAAGAAGAAACCATTGAACATGTTATAATGCAGAAATGAATTAGTGTCATAAAAATAACTCTAAAAATTCAAAGTAAAAACTTTTAATACCAATGCATGTATTTCTTCCTCAAAAGATGAATTTTTAAATAAAACCTATTGAATACTATGTTATTTATATTAATCTACATCGCTTTAATTAAAAAAGAATATTTAAAATTCAAAAAAAAATATTACTCACAAATCTTTTATCGATATCTAACAATAAAGAGTTGACTTTTTGACTGAGCAAAACCTCATGTAATCTAAAAAAATTCTTAAAAATTCAATTAAAATTATCATTTAAATTTTAAATTACTAAAATTGATTGGGTAGCATGTAGAAATTTTTTTATAATGTGACTTATTCCTGGTTATATATATATATATATATATATATATATATATATATATATATATATATATATATATATATATATATATATATATATATATATGCATATATACGTATATATATATGCATATATACGTATATATATATATATATATATATATATATATATATTCCTAATACTAATAAAAGAAATAAAAATATTATATGGTTTGTTCCTCCATTCAACAAAAATGTTGTAACCAAAAAAGAACACCTTTTCTTAAACTCAATTGACTCTATTATATCATAAGCTAATAAATGAAATATAAATATTATATGGTTTATTCTTCCTTTCAACAAAAATGTTGTAACCAAAATAGGACACTATTTAACTCAATTGACTCAATTACATCATAAGCTCAACAAAATTTTCAATAGAAATACAATAAAAGTTAGTTACAGCTGTATGCCAAATATTTGATTCATTATTAATTCACACAACACACAAATTTGTGATTTAAACTTACTGCTAGTGTTTTAAAAACTGCAACTGCATTAAGAAAACCACATGTCTATTAAATGACCAATGTCTATCAAAAAATGTTGTATATAAAGACACTGTAATATTAGCAAATTTCAGTCTTATGTAAAATTCTTATACTGATATTTTTTTATCCATTTATTCAACCAAAAATTGAAAAATTATAAGTTTTTTATAATTTAACAAAATTAGGTTAGGTGTCACTCATATAGTTAAAAACTAGTCATTGGAGTGACACCTAAAAAAAATAATAATAATGATAAAGTTATAATTTAAATAATAAGACAAAAAATATGAAAACACTCAATTAATAACAACAGCAAACAAAAATAAAAATAATTATCAAAATGAAAAGGCAAAACAAAAAAACTACAAAATGAAGGAAAAACTACAAAACAAAAACTTCTACAAAATAAAATAAAATCAAATTGAAAAATAATAACAATCTTTTGTTATTATTGGCTAAAAAAGAAAGGCAAAGAAAATTTGATTTATTATTACATTTTAATTAGTCCTTTCTATTATTATTGCAAACTTTTTTCAAACTATCTTCTTTTAAATTGGTACTTTGCTTTTAATTGCGATGTCATTTCATTGAATGTATTAGTGAGAATACATCATGCTTAGGTTTGCAAACCACCTAAAATTTGTAAAACCAGGTACAGAAATGATACAGAACTTTCTAAACAAAAGCTGGAAACATAAAGTTGCAAGTAACATACCAATAAACAAGTGGAACACAATTAAAAGTTCATAAGCAATTTATTCACAGAAGAGTGTAATTTTAGTCTTTATAAAAAATAGTTATGATAATCATTACTTAATAAAAAAAAATTGGTTTCTGCATGTAAGCATATAATAAATTTTTAGCTTACTTTTATACTGGTGATTAGTAAATCTCGGGTTACAAAAGCCTCGGTGGAAGTAAATGAGTGAAGTAAAAACAGACTTGGCAGGTGACGTGAGTTGCCTACACTGATAGTGCGTGAATGTGTTTTTTTGATATAAAAGTGCGCAAAAATAAATCGAATATGATAATTAAAATTTAGTAATAGTTTTGTTAGTAATACTGTAATGTTTTGATCATATCATTCATACATTAGAGAAACAATCCAGAGCAATGTTTTTTTTAAGTATATTTATTTATTCAAGCATTGTGACGTTTTCTAAAAAAATTGTTAAAAAGAATGTTGAATGTGACCAAATTTTTTAAACTCTAGTTTATATTTAGATCGTTTTTTTATTAAAACGATTATCTATTTATATTAACTTAGTAGCTGAACTTTTACACTACTACTACTACTAGTAGTGTAATAGTAGTAGTATTAACAGTAGTATTAGTAGTAGTAGTAGTAGTAGTAGTAGTAGTAGTTGTAGTAGTAGTAGTAGTAGTAGTAGTGGTAGTAGTAGTAGTAGTAGTAGTAGTAGTAGTAGTAGTAGTAGTAGTAGTAGAAGTAGTAGTAGAAGTAGTAGTAGTAGTAGTAGTAGTAGTAGTAGTAGTAGTAGTAGTAGTAGTAGTAGTAGTAGTAGTAGTAGCAATAGAAGTAATAGTAGTAGTAGTAGTTGCAGTAGTAGTAGTTACAGTAGTAGTAGTAGTAGTAGTAGTAGTAGTAGTAGTAGTAGTAGTAGTAGTAGTAGTAGTAGTAGTAGCAGTAGTAGTAGCAGTAGCAGTAGAAGTAGTAGAAGTAGTAGTATTAATAGTAGTAGTAGTAGTAGTAGTAGTAGTAGTAGTAGTAGTAGTAGTAGTAGTAGTAGTAGTGCTCCTTCGAGCTTGCTTGACACGGAACCTTTAACAGCCATTGCAACCTAGGTAATGGTAAGAAACAGTCGCAGCACTTTTTTTTATAAGAAAATGTGAACAAAATTGTATGCAAATATCTAACTTCAAATTCTGTAATGTTTAAACGTATGAAAACATATATCAAGTTTTACAGTTTTACTTTAACTTGAAAACTGGATTGCAACAACATTTCCTTAACTTTGATTTATAGAGTTTATTTAATGTTTTATAAAGTTTTTTGTTTATTAAAGAGATTTAAAATCTTTCACAATCAATATGCCTTAGTGGCTGAAGTGGTTATAAACATATATAAAGATATTATACACTATTAAAAATGAAAAGCAGAGAATTTTTCAAAAGCTTATTTGCCATTTAATAATGCCTTTTGTTT